CTATGTTGTCCAGGCTGGTCTTAAACTCCTCGGTCTCCCAAAGTGCTGGGATTACCGGTGTAAGCCACTATGACTGGCAGGAAATGTATATTTTTAATCATAAATTTTCCAGGTAATCTTGATGCAAGTGGTTCTGATCATACTTTGAAAAACACTTTCTAGGCTGGGCGCGGTGGCTCATGTCTGTAATCCCAGCACTTTGGGAGGCCGAGGTGGGCAGATCACCTGAGGTCAGGAGTTTGAGACCAGCCTGGCAAACATGGTAGAAACCCATCTCTACTAAAAATACAAAAATTAGCCTGGCGTGGTGGTGCCGGGCCTGTAATCCCAGCTACTCAGGAGGGCTGGAGGCAGGAAATCACTTGAACCTGGGAGCGGAGGTTGCAGTGAGCTGAGATTGTGGCCATTGCACTCCAGTACCTGTGGGGACAAGAGTGAGACCTTATGTCTCAAAACAAAAAAAAAAAAAAGAAAAAAAGAAAAAAAAGAAAAAGAAAAACACTTTCTAGTCAACCTCCAAATTAAGCTGGGCCATAAAAGAGCCAAGTAACCAGCATGGGGGATGTCACACTTGTCAGGCCCCTCTTATCACAACTGGCTTCACTGAATGACACTTGAATCTACAACAACGCAAGAAACTGCCCGGCCCTATGAGAGATCCACCTAGATTTATAGATATGTGCACCAAATACATAGATAAAAACCAGAGACGTGAATCACGGCCTAACCAGTACCCTTCGGGAAGGCACAATCAACAGTCTTGCCAGAACAACAGGCACAAACCAGGGCTGCCCAGAATGCCTAGTGATGCTACTGGTTGATCGCTTTGCTCGTGACTCCCCCTATCTTCCTTAGGACAAAGAGAGGAACACATCTTCCTCCAGACTCGGAATTAATAGCTGGACCATCTTTTCACATTTGCTTTCTTTTTATCCTGTGGACGCTGAATTACCCCTTTCACACTGCCTGATGATCCCTCGAAGCCAAACAACACCTACCTTTTGCAATTCTGCAATATTTTACAATTGCAATTAAAAATACACACACACACACACATGCATGCATGTAAACCTCACTCCTCTTATTTTAGTTCATACTCCACATTCCTTTATTTTTAAAACGTGGATTCTACTGTGCTCTTTCATATGTATCTACGTGAGCTTTCTTAAATCTGTTCTGAAATAGGAGGCAGTGTAAATATATCAAATGACAATCTACATTTATTCATTAGGGACATTTTCTAGTTGACACTTTCTTATGGGCTTTTTTTGACACTTTTTTATGGGCTTCTTTAATAACTCAAGATCATGAGACTCAAAAGCAGGGATGAGGGAAACACTTCTCAAAACTGGATTCCAGGTACCAGAACCCAATCTGAACACGGACAAAGCCTCCCAGCTCCTCTGTGGCTTTATCTCTCAGTCTCCACACAGTACAAATTTTCTCATCAGTGTTTATTAGGACCACTGTTATTTCTAGTGTATAAACACTGGCATGTATTGACGATGGTACAAATGTTTAGGAATAGCTAATGGTTTAATTTGTTTTTTCATTCAGCTATCCACATGGCTTGCATTAGCGCCAAGCAATGTCTCTAAGTAGTAAGGACTATGTGAACCACTCAGAACCAGGTCTGGATAATTATTTTTGCGTACATGGGGCACTCTGTGCCCCAACTCTGCCTTAGTGAGGTGCCTGGATACCATGGAGATGGATGCAGCAGCTGATACAGCTGCCTGAGGTCCTGCAACCTCATGGCCACATTGGAAAATTGTCCAGATTGTGCAATGAAGCTCCGTGTATGTGTGTGTGTGTGCGCGTGTGTGTTCATCTCTGTGTATGAGCACACATACATGAAGCTTGACCAATAACTGAAAGACTCACAACTTGCAAAATCAGCCACAACTAGCTCTCTTACAAACACTATTAACAGAATAACTGCCTACACTGGCATGAAGCAACTGAAGGAAGAAAGAGCTGAAGAGAAGAGTACTTCGCTCAGAAGAAGGGAAACAGCCTTTACATCAAAGCTTAATATAAGCCAGTTTGCAGAGCTATCCTTGCATCCATCCAGCTAACATTTGATGAGCACCTACTATGTATAAAAAAGTCCTGAGTGCTCTGACTTCAGTTGATTCTCTGTTCTCTTCCCCACACAAATATCTCTCGTATTTTCTAAATACTTTCCTTAGTGTAGAAAGACTCAAGTCTGATCCTACTGAAAAGAATATTTATGATATCAAATCATATTGATGGCCTCACGGAAATACAGCCTCACCAGTTAAAATATGGTACCATGCATTACCTGTTACGTCTGTGATTCAATGAGCAATTGAGCAAAGAATCTTCAGTGCAGGCCCCCTCAGATGGATTCTCTCATCTTTGACATCTAAACACTTTGTTTTGTCTCCTTTGAAGAAATTATATTCTTAAAGAGGAGGGCAAAGGGTAAGATGGGTTAGGGGGCTTCCTTTGGGTGTCTACTTCACTTTGTTCACACCCAGCCAGTGTCTGGACAACACGCCCCTGCCCTCTCGCCTCTCCCCCAGGCACATCCCAGCCCTCGAGCTTTTCTTATGTGCCACACATCTGGAATGAGCACCTGGGACATTTGTGTTTCTATTTTTCCCATCCAACAGGAACAGCCCCCTGTTCCGAGGCACAGCAGCAAGTGAGGCAGTCCTCAGGCATACAGCTGCATTGTGAAGATCAAACCAAATGCATGGCCTCTGGACCTGTCAACTGCCTTTCAGTAAATACTAAGGACAGTTTTCTCCCTTTCTTAAAGCACACGTGGAATCTACCATCAGTGTCTCCTATAAGTCTTAAAAAATGCTTTGAAATCAGGCACAACCCCAAAGGATGGTCCCTTTCACACCCCACTGCATTGAACCAGCTTCACGTGTTTGCTGAAAGCCACATGGTGACAAATCTAAGGTGAAACCCAGGATATAAATCCAGGCCAGATGTTTTGTGAAATACCCTGCACTCCCGAACTCTTCTGTCTAGAAGGTGACAGAAGCTCACTGGGCATGATCGGACTCAGGTAAAGGGAAAATCACACCATGGAGGGAATCTAACCTGTCTGCCATCACACTTCACAGATAAGAATTTAGGTGACCCCAGGAGCAAGGGAGAATTGAGTTTGTGCAGATTTCACCCATGCATGCCCTTGGCTACTTTGGCAATGAGGAGTAACTTGTGAAGTGCAGCTCAGTGGTGAGGCATCCGTTCATCCATTCTCCACTCCCTTAAGATTCACTGAGCACCTCTTACATACTAGGCATTGCAACTGGCCCTGGAGATAGGGCCTTTGTGGGGTTTACGTTCTATTCAGGGAGGAGGATAATAAGACATTTTTTTTTTTTTTTTTTTGAGATGGAGTCTTGCTCTTGTTGCCCAGACTGGAGTGCAATGGCACAATCTTGGCTCACTGCAACCTCTGCCTCCCTGGTTCATGCGATTCTCCTGCCTCAGCCTCCCAAGTAGCTGGGATTACAGGCGACCGCCACCACGTCTGGCTAATATTTTTGTAGTTTTAGTAGAGATGGGGTTTCGCCATGTTGGCCAGGCTGGTCTTGAACTCCTGACCTCGTGATCTGCCCACCTCGGCCTCCCAAAGTGCTGGGATTACAGGTGTGAGCCATCGCGGCTGGACAACAAGAAAACTTTTACATAAACATGCAATATATTGGCAGATGGGAATGAATGAAATCAAGAAAAATCAGGCCAACAGGAGACTTGCAGCCACAAGTGGAGAGCAATCCTAGATGGAAGTGCTCAGGACTGCCTCCCTGAGGCCATGACATTGGCCTGGATACCTGGTGAAGGAAAATGATACGGAACTACCTGGAACCAAGGGTTTCAGCCTAAGCTAACGCCACATTCAAATCCCTGAGACAGGACTGCAGGGTGACCGGATGGCTGAAACTAGTAACAGGAGGGAACCCACAGAAACTGCTGTAAGCAGCTGAGATTTAATCCAATGCCAACAGGTAGAGACTAAAGCAGTAAGGCAGACCTGCCTGAGTCCTAATTTGGCCTCTTATTAGCCAAATGCCCTTAGAAAAGTTGGTGGACCTCTCTGAACTTCATCTTCCTCATCAGGGAAATCACGAGAAAGATGCCCATTTGCAAAGATTGCTTTTTTGAGATCATGTTTCTAAAGCGTTTATCCAAATGCCTCCTGTAGGGTAAGATTCACTGACTGCTGACTGTTGCTGTTGTTCTTATGTTTCTGGTTTTATGTAGCATGCACCCTCTGAGGAGCTTTAAGTCATTCTTTCTATTACCTTTAGTTTGCTAAATAAATAAGTTCTTGGCATGACTTTCAAGTTTGAGAACTATTCCTTCGGGTTGGTTTTGAATTGTTTGTGGTAAAGAGTTACTCTGGTTATTAGAACCTGTATTACAGGCCAGTGATAGCTGGAATTTTAGATGTTTAAGAACATGTAAGACAGCAATATATGACTCCCAAATGTTTATTTTGCCAGATAAGAGAATTTTAAAAACAAACAAGTCCATCATCTATCATAAATAGCACCTCATGAAGGACAGGATATTTGGCACAATAATCTCCAAGAAGGGGCAATTTCTCCCTAGAAAGGTCACCTTTCATAGATATATACACATGTGTGCATATGTGTGTGTGCACAAGCAAGCCTGCATGTTTGCCTGGACATCCTCTTTCTCTGTCTTTCTCCATATGTAGTGTGTGTATTTTTCTTTACGTGGCAAAATAAAGAGCTGGGGCTACATATTGCTGTCTCACATGTTTTTAAACTCTGAAGTACATAAACAAACGTATTTTTCTCGCTTTGCTGTCGATCCGTGAACACGTCCCCATACACAGACCTCTGCCAGCTCCCATTTACAAGCCCTGCTCTGGACAAAGGAGATGTGATCAATGCAACAGGTGGGGGAGAAGAGCTCCCCAAGGCTCAGCCTAGCCTCGGGGAAGTTGTGATCTGCCGAGGGCAGTGAAGCTGTGGGCACCTGACCTGCTGGCACGATAACTCTGCGTTCGTTCGTGGTCATGTTTGGGGGTGGCATGTGCTTCTCCTCCATGTAGCTGCCATAGTTCATCCCGACGGTGTCTGGGCTGCCCACCATCTTCCCGCCTTTGGCCACGCTGCATTCATCAGGAGAGTTCCTGGAGGAGGAGAAGAAATGTCCTTCCATTACAACAGCAACCAAAGAGCACGTCTCCAGCGACTTCTCACAACACACAGAGAGAACCAAAGAAGGGCAAGGCGGAAGAGACTGGGGAAGAAAGGACAAGTGTGAAAAGCCAAATACAGGTGGGGTGCCGTGACTCACGCCTGTCATCCCAACACTTTGGGATGCCGAGGCGGGCGGATCATGAGGTCAAGAGATTGAGACCATCCTGGCCAACATGGTGAAACTCCGTCTCTACTAAAAATACAAAAATTAGCTGGGCGTGGTGGCGTGCCTGTAGTCCCAGCTACTTGGGAGGCTGAGGCAGGAGAATCTCTTGAAACCGGAAGGTGGAGGTTGCAGTGAGCTGAGATCGCGCCACTGCACTCCAGACTGGCAACAGAGCAAGATTCCATCTCAAAAAAAAGAACAAAAGAAAAGCCAAATACAGTGCCTTGCCTTCTGTCCTCCCAAAATGCATATTTTGAAGGCTTAACTCCCAATGTGATGGTATTAGGAGAGAGAGTCTTTGGGAGGTAATTCAGTTTGATGAGGTCATGAGGGTAGAGTCCCATGATGGGATTAGTGCCCTTAGAAGAGGAAGAGACCAGAGCTCTGTCTCTCTCTGCCATGTGAGGGCAGACCAAGAAGGTGGCCAAGCTATCTGCAACCCAAGGACAGAGACCTCACCAGAGACTGGCCCTGCTGGTGCCTGATTTTAGACTTCCAACCTCCAGAAGCATGCAAGCTCAAGTCCTGTTGCTTCAGCCAGCCCGTCTGTGGGGCTCTGTGAAGGCAGCCTGCACAGGCTAGGACAGTACCCACACTGGCTAGACTCAGAGAACATGCACAAGGGAGGCGGAACTGCCACCTGGCTTCTGTTTCTTAGGCAGCTCCTTCAGAAACTGTCATGTCAGAACTCCATCTGTGACGACTGACTGGGAACACTTGCAGGGAACAGTGAACTGCTCTTTGTTCTCACGGTGTGACAGTAAACAGGCAGAGTAGACAGATGTTGAGAGGCGGCACCAGGGACACTCGCTGCTCAGCGAGGTTTATCCTGAAATGATGTTCCTTTTCAAAACCTCAGAATGAAATCCTGCTGCTGAATGTCAAATCCCTGCAGCCAATCTTTACATACGGAGCTTTGAAGACTCACAGTGCTCCAGGCTTAGGTGCAGACAGGAAGGGCAGAGAAGGGTGGGGACGACGCTAGGGGAGGCCTCATGGGAGTGGACTCCAGCAGTCCTAGAGGACCCCTGGGAAAGGGATTTGGAAGGAACTGTGTGGATGCAGAGAGGGGTCAGCTACTGACTACTGACCTTGGGCAACAGGTCACAGGGCTGCTGTTAGTAAGGCAGTCACTGTCATTTGGATAAAGTCAAACCTACCTTTCTGGAAAAAGAAAAGGAAACCATTTGAAACAGTGAGATGTGAAAGCTACAGGACATGGGTGAAATCGCATCTGATAGGGAAATGCCAAAAAGAAAATCCAGTTTAGGGCCAGTAGCGGTGGCTCACGCCTGTAATCCCAGCATTTTGGGAGGCCGAGGCGGGTGGATCACCTGAGGTTAGGAGTTCAAGACCAGCCTGATCAACATGGAGAAACCTCGTCTCTACTAAAAATACAAAATTAGCCAGGCATGGTGGCGCATGCCTTCAATTCCAGCTACTCGGGAGGCTGAGGCAGGAGAATTCCTTGAACGTGGGAGGTGGAGGTCATGGTGAGCTGAGATCATGCCATTGCATTTCAGCCTGTGCAACAGGAGTGAAACTCGAAAGAAAGAAAGACAGAGAGAGAGAAAGAAAAGAAAGAAAGAGGGGGGAGAGAGAGAGAGAGAGAAAGAAAAGAAAGGAAAGAAAGAGCAGGGAGAGAGAGAGAGAGAAAGAAAAGGGGGGAGAGAGAGAGAGGAAGGAAAGGAAGGAAGGAAGGAAGAAAGGAAAGAAGGAAAGAAAATCCAGCTTAAGCAGAAAACAGAATGTACATGTCAGTGCCTTCTTAGATGGCTAATGCATAGATGGCTAACCCAGGGTCACTGTAGCTGAGGAGTATTAATATTCAGGGTCTGTTGTCTAAGGTGGATTTCCAGAAATGCCTCTCAGGCTCTATCCAATGCACGTATTTTTTTCAAATTCCTTGGAATCTGGGAACCTTCACTCTCTCTGGATTTCAGATTTATATCCCAGTGTTTCCGGTTGTGGGATCCCCTCCAATGAACCCTCATTTATCTCCTCCACATCTTGTTAGTTGGAGTTCTGCAGGGAACTTGGAGAATCAAAAATCTATGGGCTTGGCATGGATGTGAACTTCAAGTCTAAGGAGGTCAAAACCACTTGAGGTAGGAGAGCACTTTCTGAGCGGGGTGAGATGGAGCGGGTCATTCCACACCTGAAAGTCACAGCTGGGATGTGGACAGGAAGGGACAGTGTCTGTTCAGCATCTGGGAACTTGAAAATATAGGTTTGTTCTCAGCATCACTTACAAATGTGTCTGAAGCCTATGGAGGGTTCTTAGGTGTTGGCAGTGAAGAGGGTGAGCCGAGACTGCCATCTGCGGATGGAGGTTAGAGTCAGGGTCACGCAGGACTCAGGCCCTACCACAGGCCTGGAATGCACAGCCCTGCCTGATGGCATCCTCACAGCTGTGCTAACATGAAGGAAATTTTAAAATAATAATGGTCTGAGTTCCCATGAAGTAGATCCTGAATATTTCCACCACTGCCTACACATGCATTATTTCCTCTTGATACTATTTTTCCTGGCTTCACACATTTATCTCTAAAAGACCCATCCTAATATCAAAACACAGTGTCTTCACTTGACACTGAGTTTCCTATTCCTCTGGAAAATTCCATCAGTTGAGTAGACGGTATATGTTTTGGTATATTTGTCTCAAGGAGAGAAGTTACTAGGGAAGAGAAGTTAGAGGGATTAGGTTCTTTAGGATAAAGACTTTACCCAGATGATGTGAGTAACTCAAGTAACAACTATAAAATCTAGACAACCTTTGTTCAGATTCAATCATTCACTCATCCATTTAGACAACTGCTATTAAGTGCCTGCTGTATACCAGGCCCCATTAATTCTTTCTTTTCCAACAATGCAGTTAGCCATTTGAAAAGTAAAAGATCAAAGAGATGAATAAAATTATAGAAACAGCCCAGGTGCGGTGGCTCACGCCTGTAATCCCAGCACTTTGGGAGGCCGAAGTGGGCGGATCACCTGAGGTTGGGAGTTTGAGACCAGCCTGACCAACACGGAGAAACCCTGTCTCTACTTAAAAAAAATAAATTAGCCGGGCTTGGTGGCGCATGCCTGTAATCCCAGCTACTCAGGAGGCTGAGGCAGGAGTATCACTTGAACCAGGGAGGTGGAGGTTGCTGTGAGCCGAGACCTTGCTATTGCACTCCAGCCTGGGCAACAAGAGCAAGACTCCATGTAAAAAAAAAAAAAAAAAAAAAAGAATTATAGAAACAGGGGACATTATGGATTTTGAACCCTTCAGACCAACCCCTTTTTTTCTTTTAGTTCTTTATAGTTTAATTTTCATATCTGAGGACAAGAACTCTAGGCATGGATCACAAGAGTTTCCCTATGACATTAAAGTAGATCCTTCAGGCTGGTTGCGGCAGCTCATGCCTATAATCTCAGCACTTTGGGAGGCTGAGGCAGGCAGATCACTTGAAGCTAGGTGTTCGAAACCAGCCTGGCCAACATGGTGAAACCCTGTCTCTACTAAAAATACAAAAACGTCACCAGGCATGGTGGCGCATGCCTGTAACCCCAGCTACTCAGGAGGCTGAGGCGGGAGGATCACCTGAGCTCAGGAGGTGGAGGTTGCAGTGAGCCAGGATTGTGCCACTGCACTCCAGCCTGGGCAACAGAGCAAGATTCTGTCAAAAAAAAAAAAAAATCCTTCATCAAATCTGGATATGATGAACTATTAAAATGCATTTTGTGAGAGCTTTCTAAAAATATGAGCAAATATTTAAAATGGGGTCAATGGTCAGTAAAGCTACTCTGTTTTCATTTTGCAACAACATCCAATTCATCTCATTAGATTTTCCCATCCCGGCTTTCATTGTGGAAAACGGCAGAATGAGGCCATCAGACCCCATTTTCAAAACTTGCACCTTTAGCGTAATGTTTTTAAACTCTTTTTCCATTGCATTTTGTTTTAGCTTAGAGAAAGATAGAGTCACATTTTTTTATTATTTCAAGTGTTTTTTTGTAATAACTCTGAGGAACCTCCAACCCCAAAGAGAGGAAATGGTAACGCCACAGGGTCACTGAAGTGCTAGACTTCAACCGGGTATTCAACAAATATTGGTGAAGCAGGCCTCAGTTGTTGTACTCTCACTTTTTAGTCTTTTTCCCTTGTTAGTTCTCTTACAATTTTTTTTTCATTTTTATTTTCTTCTTCTTATTTTTTGAGATGGAGTCTTGCTCTGTCGCCCAGGCTCAAGTGCAGGGGCGCGATCTCGGCTCACTGCAACCTCTGCCTCCTGAGTTCAAGCGATTCTCCTGCCTCAGCCTCCCGAGTAGCTGGGATTACAGGTGCCTGCCATTACGCCTGCGAAGTTTTGTATTTTTAGTAGAGATGGGGTTTCATCATGTTGGCCAGGTTGGTCTCGAACTCCTGACCTACGGTGATCCTCCTGCCTCGGCTTCTCAAGGTGCTAGGATTACAGGCATAAGCCACTGAGCCCAGCCTTCTCTTGCAAAGTTTAACAGCAAAAGAGCAGCCTTAACGTGTTTGGGATCTGTTCTGGGAGCTCAATAGTTATCAATCTTCACCACAGCGAACGGTGTTGCTGGCATCATCTCCACTTTCCAGAGGTGTGAACTGAGTACTCAAAACACAAGGGGCTGGCTCCAGGACTCACAGCCAGGAGGAGGTAGAATGAGACTTCAGTGCGGGTGGCCCCAACTCTCCATCCCTGCTTCTTGACCCTGAACAGAATGACTCCACAAAGTAAAGGCAAGACAATGTTC